ACTGTAGGTTGTTCAGATATACACAATTAGGACAGGTGCATGTGTCACTTTTTTGTTTCCTGCCGATCGATCCTCTAGGGAGGCGAGGCCGTGTCTCAAGCTGTTGCACCACACAGTTGGCAACACCCGACATGTGTGATGCTGTTGAAAGAAGCAGCAATCGCATCAAAAATGGAGCGGACAGCTCCGGCCACACGTATGTCTACGATTCCGGTTGCAATTGCTGTACAAAGCGGCTGTAACTGCATTGAGGCCACGGAGGCAAAACCCCAGGATCCATCCTCGTATCAACAGGTATATAAGACTTGTCGTAGACGAAAGTTTGCTGGAACCCTACATGCCCCATACGTACGATGCTCTATCACAGAAAGTACAGACACACACACACACACATAACCCCACCAATCCACTCCGCAGAGTGGGAGATGGATCCAAGCCCCGAGGCCTGTTCCTAAGCAGTCACGAGCAAGCTCTTGGCTTCTCAATAATCTAGATCAAAGGAGGGTCAGCTTTCAGCTCGGCTTTGTACTTCATTCGCAGGCTCATCAAGACAGAGTTCGCTTTGTAGGTCACACGGTCCCAGTTCACATCGTGCCCGTGCTTCTCGAAGAACTCCACCTTCTGTACAGAGTGCACCACAGCTAGAGTTTCAACCATAATGCCTGGTGTTATCGTGTCATGCACATGTTCATTCAAGTGACGAGCTCATTGCACAGCTCGATCAGAATCGTAAACGAGGGGAAGCTGTGGCAAAACATGGACTTCCCTGACTCTTTGGATCGCACACCGCATTTCGGCTGCGCACAAGTCCAATACACTTCGACACGAAAGGTGGGTCCATGAGCGATAAGCCTGCAGAGCACGCCAAGTTTGACAAGTACAAGAAATACCAACAATCCAAAGAGACACATACACACATGCACACATGCTCAATACATGTCCCAGTAACGACTTCAACTGCTTCTTCTGCTCGGTGGTCACAAGACACACACCCTTTTTTGCCCGCTTCGGTTCAGGCTCCTTTGGCTCCTCCTTCAGCTCCTTTGAGTCCTCCATAGGCTCCTTTTGCTTCTCCTCCTCCTCCTCCTGTGCATCCTTCTGCTTGACATCATCTGCTTTCTTGTTGGCCTGCTCATCATCTTCCTCCTTGTTCTTACCCCTGACAGCCGCAGCAGGCCTCTTCATGCTGGCCTTAGCCTTCCCCTTAGGCCAGCCCTTCTTCTTGGGAGCAGCAACCTCAACATCTTCGGGGGCTTCTGGGGCCTTGCTGGTCTTGTTCTTAGCCTGGGCCTTTGCTTTGCTCTTGGCTTTCCCCTTCGGCTTAGCTTTTGCTGCCATAGGCTTCGCCGCCCCCTTGCCTGCGGGCCTCAGAGATTTCTGTTCTGAGTGCAGCAGCAACGGAATCTGCATGGCATCCGGCTCTCCTACCTGCTCCTGCTCCTCCTCCTGTTCCTCTGCAGCCGATGCCTCTGGAGGGGAATAATGCTGAGTAGCTTCAGGTCCTTCTCCTTCGTGCTCCTTGGCCTCAGCGGTTTTCGTTTCCCCCTGACCAGATCTCATATCCTCATCCTTTGTTTCAGCCTTGTATACTGCTTGCTTGCTGTCATCCTGACTTGCTCCTGGGTCCTTCGGAAGATCATCTATCCCGTTGGCTCGCAAGAATGCCTCAACACCCGGACCATGCATCAGTGGCTGAGGGCTTTCAGAGCCGCCGGCATCCCCCTCAGACTCAGATCGGACATCCACACTCACAGAATCCCGATCGAACTCGCCCGGAGCAAGCGTCCACGATGCAGGCGGTAGCAAGTCAGTTTTGGCTGGCTTCGTTGGGGTGATAGGCAGGTCCTCAGGCTTCCATTCTACGGCTCCCCCCCGCATCAGGGCCGGGACTTCCGGCGGGGGCATAATTGCAGGCTCCTCGTCCTTAAGATGTTCTCCCAGCTGCATGGTTGTTGCATCCGACCTCGTGGATTGAATGTATGACTCATGCTCTATATCATGACTTTTGTTATAACAAATAGATCATATATCAATATCAAGCAAAGCAACAATCAAGCAAATCAAGATCATGAGATGAATTACCTGCATGGTCATGCTAATAACTGCCAGATGTTGCAACCGTGCTTCTCAGCATCACTGCTATTGATTTCCATTGCTGCTGCTGGGTCCTGCACAAGGGCTAGCCCTGAAGAATATACCCACTCATACCATGTCATGCTCATTCGAATATCCTCACCCCCAGACGATCGGAGCAACGATGCAGCATCCTTAGGAATGCCAGATCAAGATTCTTATTTCTAGAATAAGAACCAAAATGATAAATCTGAACATATTTGATGCTTCAAGAAAAGCCAAGGACATGCAAGCTCGTGGAGGAGAGGATCGTCAAGCTTAGTCTCTTCCTCGATCTGGGTTTCCATGTTGTCCACGAGGCCGGAATTCGAAGAGACTTGTACATTGGGCATGCTCCTGCGATGACATGTGGCAGACAGACAAGCACCGGTTGCAACACAACAAAGGGAAAAGGGCTGGACATAAAGACAAGGGGCTGGGCCGTACGAACGAACTGCGCCAACTTTTGCTTGAGATACCCATAAGCATCGCTTGCAGAACCTATTCAACATGCAGCAGCTACAACAGAAAGGAATACAAGGGGCAGGACGAACGAACATAGCAGCTCTTATAAGATTGCACTTGGAATGCCTGCAGCTGGAGCAAGAACGGATACCTCCACATCATCGAAGCTTTCATCGGTCCAAGTCTGTTTCTTTGAAGATGAAGGGCAATCTGGCATAGTGGTATGTTTGCTTGCAGCTGACATCAACAATCACATCAAGCATGGTGCTGCAACTTTATATTTGCCACTCAATTGCGTTACCCACCTTGCAATGCATCTTGGGAATCCGGATCAAGCGACAACGAAGGGGCTGAGATAAGGTCGGAGCCATACATTTCGGCACTGTTGACCGGGGAGTCTTCCGGATCTGAGACCTCACCATCCTCCTGCGGCAGATCAAAGATGGCCTCCACCCCCATCCATGGCGGATTTGCCGGTCCCTCGAAGACCTCATCACCTTCAAGCTCAGTATCCGTGATTTCCCCAGGCGGGGTCACAGGACCAACCAAGGCCGCCTCATCTGCACCCTCTCCCTCCTCCTCAGCCTCTCCCTGATCATCCTCCTCACCTGGCTCCTGAACCCTGCGATGATTTGGCCTGTGAGCATGGCGATATACAGCCAACGCCCCTTCGCCCCCCAGCCGGGCTCGATACAAGTCCTTACATATGCTCCGTGCACAAACAGCCGATTGAAGCTCAACAATCAAGTCATGCTTGTTGTGCTTGGATGTGGATTGATATGTTGTGAAGTTGCTGCAATGTTCAAGCATGCATATGCGATACCAAGGACACTCAGCAGCTGAACATCGGGATCACGTTGCACATCCGATCGTTCCATGAGCCCTGACACAACGAGAACTGCAAAGGCACATGTCAGATTTTATTCAGACGAGCGACTCTTGTGAGTGATTAGACAGCTCTTGATCGTATGAGCATCTTGATTGATCTGCGGCCCCAGAATCTCCACCTGTCTCAGCAGATAGGAATCCATATCTTATTAATACCCAGACCATGCCAAAAATCACAGCACATGGGCTGCAACTATAGATTAAGCGAAGCCACATCAAACTTCGATGCGATCGCTTTCAACACCGGCTCAATCACGGGAACTCGAGCGATTTGAGGGTGGCTTGCGAAATTGGGCACGAAGTGCCGCAGCAGAATCTCGCAGATTATTTTTTACAACAGATGTGCAATCATTATGAACATGCATAACAGCTTGAGCATGCATCAATGTCCTTGTTGAGTTTCAGGGCATCGGTCGATGTCTTGCGGAGTCTACCTTTCTCATTCATCGGCCACATAATGAATACCTTCAGGTGCACCGTACGAGCTTTGAGCTCCTCATCCACCGAAGCAGCCTGGCAAGGCCCACAAGACCCGTTATGTAGTATGATACTTCTGAAATCACCTCACAATTTAGTCAGTTGCCTCAATAATGTTCTGCATCATTCTTTTCAAGACCACCTTTGGCTCTTCCGCCATGGCTACAGAAGTCCGAAGGCACCAATCCGAGCAAGTAAATGCAACACAAATCCGAGAGATATTCTTCAAGATCCTATAGTCATGAAACATAAATTGAAATGAAGACATCGCATGCAGCTTGAGAAGCTGCAGGCATCAGGCATAACGTGCACAAGCAAGCAACAAACTGTCCAAACATGCGCCAAAACTGCAAGCACAACTCATGGGTTCAAGCAATCAAGGCCAATGGCAACAAGTTTGTTATGCTGCATGCTGAGATCGGAGCAGCCCATTGAAGAAGGGGCTCGGTCAATGATATAGCCAATCTCTGTTGCTTGTTGCAATATGCTGTTGCGAATCGGCTGCTAGTGATGATGATATGATTGCATGTTCGGTGCCGCTGCTCAACATGGAAACACCAGAGCATGAAGTCCATGGTGTTCGAGCCATGTAGGAATGCTGTTCAAAAGCGTCCAATCCATCACGAAGCTGATGATGGCTTGATGATATAAATTATCATATCCTGAATTTCTTCTATCCCGATATTGATTTCTCAAGATCAACTTTTCCTATCTCAAGAATATCAAGAATTGGTTTCTGATTCTGAAAGAACAAATCCTATATCATAAGAACTCCAAGAAATGGTTTTATGGTTATCAAGATCATCTTCGTTTATCATAAGAACACCAAAGAATTAGTTATTCAAGTCGGAACCTGAAACAAATGGTTTCAACCAGGAAGATCAAGGGAACCACAAAAAGGAACTACATAAGAACCTCTAGGTATATATATATGTACATATGTATATGTATATGTACATATGTATATGTACATATGTATATGTATATATACAAATGTACACACTTGTCTGCGTATGCAGGTCCCGTCTGGCTGGTCACGCGCCAACTGAGTCTGCCACTGTACGAGCCCGCGACTCGATACTCCTCGCTGAGTGGAGCCTCTTGACCTTGTCGCGGTAGCATCATGAGCTGCCGCTGAAGACAAAGAAAACCATGGCTATTCAAAACTGATTTAGTCCTCTACTATCATGGCCTGCCAATCAAGCACGGAAACGCAACATGACTGGATTCGCAGTGCACGACGGAACAACCGAGGTCAACGAGCCCGTGACACTGCATGATCACAAGAAACGTCCGGCCGCATGGCAAACAAAGGAACCGCAACAAATTGCCGATGCATATGGCGTACAAGAGGCCAACGACGGATGCGGCGCTCAGTACCGCAAGGGTGTATTGCGGTACACATAACAGGAAGCCTGTGCCACTTCAGATAGCACATCCTCGAAAGTCTTGTGATCCGCAAGCCGATCCACCGACTTGGCTGTGGAATCAAAAACACACTGGCTGCAGCTATTCAAGGCACCCAAACACCAAAGCCCAAACATGAAAATCCCCGAGCTGGAGCCCGAAACCCCGAACTCGGCCCTGAACCCCAAACCCTACAACCCGAACTCTGATTTATGTAGACCTCTGATTCATAAACCCATCTTAGATGACGATCCCCCGATTATCATCCTCGAAAACTCGTTCTGGGCTCGAAGACGTTGTTGGATTGCGAAGCATTGAGGCTTGAAGCAGAGGTTGCCCGGAGGGCCTCGATCGAACGCGAAAGCTCAGTAGGGGCTTCCTTTAGAGGGTACGGGGTTACTATACGGAGCTATAAGGGCACTATAAGGGGTTTGGAGTTTGGGGTTGAGGGACTTGGGTTTTAGCGTTTTCGGGGCTTCGGGTTTAGGGCTTCAGGGTCATCTTGGACTTTACGCGGTCCTTGTGGCCAGTCGAACAACTTCAGCCAAGCGTGCTGAGGTTCCCAAGGCTCTAGTTAGAGCTTCGGGTCTGCTAATGAGGTGAAGGCGAAGAGGAAGCAATCGCACGGCTTTGCGTGGTACCGTACCCAAAGGCTCCATAGTAGTTCCGTTTTGGGATATAGGATTCTAGATATGAACCCCAAAAAGGAGCTACTATGGAGCCTCTGGGTATACATCAGCTGTGTCATGAGACATGCCGAGGAAGGCTGCTGACCAATTGTGGTGGCTCCCAGGATTTCGGGCATGCCAGATATACACAGGAAGATATCAAAAGAGCTGATTGCATTCTATCACATGCAAACTCTTCTAGAACCCCTTAAAGAACTCCTGTAGACGAGCCCCTTCTAGACATTAGCATGCTCACCGACGCCCTTAAATAGCTCAACCTCAGTTTCACGCAGGCTTGCGACCCACGATCTAGCTGACGCCATTCAGGCCCCCACTTCGCGTGACATCGGCCACAGGCGATCCTGGATCAGAAAGGCTGCTGTGCGCTGACTCCCCAAAGCCCCCCCAAGCACAAATTGAAAAAAAATAAGTTCAGAAGCAGGACTACCAGAACCTAAAAGCCCTTCATCAAATCGGGTCCTGGTAGACGGGAACTCCCTGGCTCGGGCTGGAGCCACCCTGTCCGTCGAGGAAAAGACTCCAGGATTCTAGAATTCCCGGTAGCTTACGGGTTTAGGGGTCAGGATTCGGGGTCTGGAGTTTAGGTGGGCTTCTCTGCCGGGGCTCGAAAACCAAGGAGGTTTCTCAACAATGCTTGTTGTAAATGAGAAATGCCTACATTCCTTACGTAGGATCCTATCTTGGGGCTTGGCTACTTCGCTTCTGCATGTACAACAGCCGGGCTGAACCTTTCTCATGTCAAGGCTTAGGCCTCGAGCTGCGACGGACAGACAGATGACCTAATCTAATCAATACTGAGTTTTCGGAACGGACTTAGTATGTTCGGTAAACCAAGTAAACTGGGGCTTCTGTCCAAGTCCGCAGCCACAAACCTGCCTTCGCGACACAGCAGGATATCAGTGCCCGCATAGCGCAATAGCTGAACTGCTTGAATAGGTATTCTTCTACAATAATCAAGAATTCTTCAGGCCCTTATATTCGGATTTCAGGTCTGGGCTTGGCTGTAGAGCAATTTATAAAAAAAAATCCTTACAGAGCCCTTCAAACAAGAATTTGATTTTGGTTTTGGGTTTGGGGTTTAGGGTTTAAGGTTTTTGATCCTGTTTAGGAAAAAACTGCTGTAAGTGCTCTTTTCGTTGCCTGTGGGCCATCGAGGTCGCAGCTCTGCGCCCGCAGGAGGCTCTGGATGGAAGGGCGCATAGACCCAGGGATGTCCTGGCTTTGAGTTTGGTTTTGGGTTGGGGTTTAGGGTTAAGGTTTTTTGGTGGTGTTTATATACAAGGTATGTAAGGAGGGTTTAGGGCCCATGGCTTCGACTTTGCTCGCAGTGTCTGATATCAAGGTGGCTGCATCGTATGAGTGTATCTACGGCTCTTTGCGGGTAAGCAAAACGTAGGTTTTTGAAGAAGCATGACCGACAACAACTACAGCAAAGGGTCCAATGCTATCCCACGGATCGTAGAGTACTACCGCCACCACCATCACGACTGTTCTTGCTCCTGCACTAGCTCATGTCGGCTTGAACAGTCAATCTCGCTGCTAACGGCTTCGGTCCCTTGACAAGGCTATGCCAGGATACTTTTATTAATATAGGGGCCTTAATAATTAGGATAGGGTTTTGGGGCCCTGTATGCTATAAGGCTACAATTAGCATAAGGAGCCCCAAGAATGGTATTGGTAATGGTAAGCATTTCGGGCCTATAGTACCAACCCCCCGCAGTCCTGCGGCGTGGGCGCCGGAGCCTCTTCCTGCACTTTCCGGGTGCACTCGCCCTATCACTGTATAAAAATGCAAAAACATTTAGGAACAATCAAACACGGAAACGCTCAAAATGCAGGTATATGTAAATATGTGTTTATTTGGTTTGTTGTGTGCTCACTTTGTTCGTCTTTGTTTAATACGCTTTCACATGTGATGGGCATTTGTATGCGTTCCTACCATACGCGCTCAGATACATAAGCAGACATGTATACATGGTTAGTTCCTGGTTGTGCTACAAGCCACTTTGCTACACATGCATGTTCATATGTAACGAAGTATTCGATTATGTTGTATTCTAGCGCAATGGTTAAAATGTAGTTCATCGTTGTGTTACTGTACTGTCGTGTGTATGGTTGTATGTATGCACGTATGTATGTATGTGTGGTATCTACAGGTATGTAGGCATGCAATTAGGTACGCAAGTAAGTAAGTCCAAGTAGGTATGTATGTATCCGTCTATCTGTCTATCTATAGGTATGTAGATATCTAGGTATCTAGGTAGGTATGTAGGTATGCAGGTTCGCAGGTCGGAAAGTAGGCATGTAGGTAGGTACGTAGGTAGGCAGATAGGTAGGCAGGTAGTTAGCCAGGCAGGCAGGTAGGTTGTTAAGTTAGGAGGTTTTTTTGTGTATGCATGTATCTGTCTGTCCGTCCTCCTACGAGTGTCTATCTATCTACCCCTAGATACCCGGAACCCCTAAGCCCTAAAGCCTAAACCCCCAACCCTGAACCCTAAAGCCTAAAGCTCTAGAGCCTACACCTCCAACCCTGAGCCGTAAAGCCTAAAGCTCGAAAGCCTACTGCCTGAAGCCCCAACCCTGAACCTAAAGGCTAAAGCTCTAAAGCCTAAACCCCCAACCCTGAACCCGAAAGCCTAAAGCTCTAACGTCTAGAGCCTAGACCCGCAACCTGAATCCTGAAGCTTAAACCTCTTAACCCGAAACCCAAAAGGAATTCCACTGACTGCCCGAGGTCGTCACAGGCTGGCAGGCCACCTGCCAAGAGTAGGTCGGTTGCGTGGGTTTCTTGAGGAGTTCCTTTCCTTTTACAGGATTCTAATAGGGGTTTAGGAGTGCCTTGTAAGGATCTAGAGTCGAGGGGTTTAGGGGTGTTAGGGTTCCGGTTGCTAATAAGGTTGGCCGAGGTTTGTGGATCCTAGGGTTGAGGGGCGACAAGGCTTCAGGTGATTTAGATTTAGGCTAAGTGCGGGGATGTTCGGATTTAGGGGCTTTACAGGGTTTACAGGTTTAGGGTTTGGGGTTTCATGGGCTGAGATCTTTAGGCTTGTGGGTCTTAGGTAGGGTTTCGGGAGGCTGAGCGGTCTTCGGGCTTGTAAGGGTGTTGGGTCTATGAGGGGGCTGAAGCGTCTAAAAAGGCTTTAGGACGGGCTTTGGAAGGGTTCTGGGCTCGGGTGCAGAGCCAGCTTACCCAGGGTTTGAGAGCTGTGGGGGTTGTAGGATTTAAGGTGGTGCTCAAGCAGCAGTCACGATGACAGCTATGACACAGAAGCCAATGCCAGCTGTGAAGATCGAAAGCGTGAACGACAGTGCAAACTTACGACAATGACAAGTGGCTGTGCTAATGGCCAGCAGAACAAAACCTTCTTAGACAGCTGACAATACTATGACGACCGTCAGCACGTAATGGTCATCGTCGCTTTCTGTAGCAGTAGTAGTAGTCGTCGTCGTAGTAGTCGTAGTAGTCGTAGTAGTCGTAGTAGTCGTAGTAGCAGTAGTACTAGCAGCAGCAGAAGCAGCAGAAGCATTTCTACCAGTACGAGTTCCTAGTACTAGTACAGTACCTGCACTAGTACAAGAAGCACGTGAAAATAAAGTAGTGGTGGCAGCGGTAGTGCGTGCTTGGAAGGTCCACGTCGCCTTGCCCAGTCTCCGTCGAGCATCAAGCGCCTGGCGCTGGGCGACTTGGGCTTGCGACGGATCTCCGCCTTGCTTATAACCCACCTTAATGAGCTACGGGTGGACCCCACACTGAAAACAAACGAATCCCTAAATATAGTATTACCACAGAAATTCAAAAAGGACCAACTGCAACCCGACGCTAGTGGGGTCTGCAGAACCACGAGACTGGTGCTGACAAAACCTCTGCCAGCCCACCTCAAGACCTTGCTCCGGTTTCGGGTATAGGATGTTGAGTTTAGGGGCCTAGGGCAGTTTAAGGTTTAGGGGTAAAGGTAAGGGTAAGGGTGTAGAGCTTCAGGTCCGCAGTAGAGCATTTCAAGTCTCAGCAGCTTGGCAACGGCTGCGTTTTGGATAGGGTTTCGGCTTTAGGGGTACCTTAGCAGAAACCCTAAACCCGACACCCTAAGCCGTTTCTAGGACCCTACTTTCATAACCGTCACAAAGAACCCCCAAAAGAAACCCTCAAGGGACGTCAGCGCCTGCTTCAGCAGCTCGGGCTGGAGCCTGCCCGCGACACTGAGCCAGGAAACGAGCTTTGCCGGATCTTGCCTGAGTTGAGCATATTTTGGGTTTACGTCTCAGGGTTGGGGTCTAGAGTATAGGGTTTAGGGCACATAGAGTTTGGATTCAGGCTTCTCAGGGTTCAACGGAGGCTGAGGTTCGATAGCTTGTAGTTATCAACAAGATCCTGGTAGCGGAGAAGGGCAGACAGCTTGGATCTTGGTCTTCGTTTTGCAGGCTCAAGAACGAATCGTACAAGGCTCAGTACAGGTCTTTTGGCCAGGAAGGGCTTTCGGCACCGGGCCTTCCATTTTATGTAGAAGAATGGCTTGTCAGCGACAGCCAAACAGACGCGCCTGTTGTAGCCCCACTGCTTCTTTGCGGCCTTTTGAATACGACGGTTCCTTCCCGGATACATTGTTACCTCGGAGCTCGGCACCCGACCTCATCAATCCTCCAAAGAGCACTACATCATGAAGTCCCGTGACATTGAACTTCCCCAATTCCCCACCCCATGAGTACAGATTCAAACAAACCTGAATCTGCAACCGCAGACCATCTACCTTTCACACGAGATCCCAGACAACTATAGCCGCAGGCCACAAAGAACCGAAACCGTAAGTTTCAAAGCTTCAGAAAGCAAGGCTTGCGTCGAGCATCGGCTCGGAACTCCCGACCGACTGCAGCAAAGACTGCTGCTGGCCTGGCATGGTTCAGGGTTTAGGGTGCGGTCGGAGCTTCACGTGCAAGGTTCAGGCCACTCTGAACTGGAAACCTCGTGGCGGAACCGCACAAAGTTCAGGACTGCAGACACAAGCGTAACAACCGGGCCCAAATAATTACCAATACTATTTTGGGGGCTCCGTATGGTAATTTAACGCACAAACCTATTCTAACGATTAAGGACCCTAAAGCAAGTGTGTCCATCGCGCGCCTTGTTGCGACCCTGGCTTTCCGAACCTGCCACGTTCAGGGCTTACCGTTGAGAGGTTTAGTCAGCTGAGGGGGTTTGTCGGGCCTTTGGGCTTGGGGCCTCGGGCCTAGGGGTTTACGGTTCGCGGTTTCGGTCTCAGGGTTCTGCAGATTTGTGTTTGGCTTCCAGGGGTTGAGGAGGGCCTGATGAGCCGGTATCGACATTCTGTTAAAGCCAGGTCCCAGACTCTTCTAACCGATCCTAAGCCACGGGGCCGCATTCTGCCTGCAACTCGGAACCCAAGACAAGCACAGAGCCCCTCAAAGCCTAAAGCCCAACCCCAAAACGGATAAACCCAAAAGCCGTAAAGGCTAAGTACCCTAAATCCCTCTAAACCCAACCACACAAAAAGCTCGAATCATGCCCATCGCGGCATCTGATTCCGTGCCATAGCTTGGCTGGCAGCTGTCAAGCCCATGTCTGCGATTCTGAGCATCTCGTGCCTCATCCGAAGCGCATCAGCACTTTGATTGTGGGCACTCTCATGGCTTCGGGCTGGGAGCTTCGAGTGAGAGTCTACGGGAGTCACGGTTTACCGTGCTGCCGACAAGTGCGCTGAAACCGGAAGCTTCTTCCATCCTGGCCCCACTTCAGGCATTGGCCAACTGGCATGTGGTGGCGACGCGGCTGGACAGGATGTGGTGATGAGTGCACCAGCCTGAGGCGCTCTACCCATTGAAACACCATTGATTCGCAGTGATAATGACAACGAGCACAGCAAGACTTTTGATTTGACCGTAGCAATACGTTTCCGAGTTCGCAACTGCAACACACCTGGAAGCCTGACTGAAGCAGCCGAATCGAGCACGGCACCAAGTGTCTCAAGAAAGGCGCATGCCGCGTGCTGGCATGCGCCATTAAAAAGGCCTGGGCACGATGAAGATGGACTTAGGGTTGGGGGGCTCTGGGCTTGAGGCAATATGGCCATTGCAACCTTTCCAGGCACTTCCTGGCCCTACATTCCTACATCGCTCTCCAGGAGCCCAAGCAGCATCTGCATTTTTGCCTTGCCTTGCCTTGCATTGCAACCAGAACACCCAGTTTGGGAGCCGAACTCATACCCTGCAAGGTTTTGGGAACAGGGAGGGCCCCTGCGGAGGTGCCAAGGAAGCCTCAAGCCCACCCCCATCTCAGCCTGGAGGTCTGTTCGCAGTTTTTGCGACCATGGCTCCTCCGCAAAGGAAGACTTCTGCTTGACTAACATGAGATCATGTAGGATCGAAACAAGCCCTCCGACGCAAAAACTGCTTTGCCTGGGAGTCGAACCACACCAAAATCAAACACCTTTCCTCGAACCTTAGGCCCCTTCCGAAAACAAGAACCAACACTAACAAATGGAAATACACCTCCAAGCTCAGAGGCGGGGGTAATAGCTATGACGATAACAAGAAGAAGACTAATCGTACAATAAGACCGCTAGCAATAACAACAACATTCGTGAAATGAAATTTAATTGCTAATTATTAGCAATACTCAAAGTCCCTAAAGTGCTAGAACGGCCTCAAACATCCGAAGTGACGCCTTCGGAAGCAACGGCGCTCCTGGCCCTCGGCCCTGAAATACAGTTTTTCGTGGTTAAGTTCCCTTCTCCTCGGGGAGACCGGAGCCCTCTTTGGGCCCTTTGAGGGCTTCCATCCATGATTTCGGACTTTGAGCTAACGGTTTAGGGTTGAGGGTTTGGGGTTGCGAGTGTCTGTAACCTCATGTGAGTAAGAACGGTGCGCGGAGTTGCATTGGACCGTGTGCCAGCAAGGCCTTGTCTTTACAATCTGGTTTAGGAGATGCATACGATACTTGTGCAGGGCTGTGAAGGGGATGATAGTACACCAAATCTTCAGACCCCGCTTATTTCTCAGCTTCTGCGGCATGTTGCACGGACCAACAGCACATTGTACCACACAAAAACATCCTACCTACTAACTAGTAGGGTTAGGCTGGGGAGGGCTACGAGTCCTATATCCACGACCTGAACCCTTCGAGAACCCCAAAACGAGAAACCGGCCTCGAAAATAAATCGCAGCGCCGCATTTTGCTGAGGCCGCGGGACGAAGGGAAGTGCATACAGAGGAGAGAGGCCTCAAGGCGCCGCGGGTCTTTTGGCTTCGGAATGCGTAAACCCCCAGTTGAAGCCGAACCTCAGCGCAGAACAACTCCAGAAACTTCTGCAACCCATTCCTCATTTCGTGCCCTGGTGAGGTCCAAGCCCGGCCTTACCCTGCCTGCTTCAGGGGTTCGGGGTTTAGGGTTCGGGGTTTAGGGTTTAGGGGGGTTCGGGGTTTGGGGGGTCAGAGCTTAGGGCCCGGAGTAGAGTAGGTGCACCCAAGCTCTGAAAGAGCAACCCCGAAGCTTGTTGGAGTCTGGAGTTCGCAGAGCTGCTATGCCTTGCTTTCTCAAACATCACCAGCCTGGTACTACAACGGGGGCCTTAACAAAAAGGAGAGAAGAGGGTTTTGGTGAATATCATATATACTATAACTATAATAAGGAACCCCCCGAAATGGTGTAGGTAATTATTTAGGCCCCTATACTACACCCCCATAATACCCTTTAAAGTAACCCTAATTGGACAGTTTTTCATGACGCCCCTGTCCTAGACCGGCAAAGGAGCCCAAGGTCCCAGCTCTGCTGCGTCGCATCAGCGCCTGCCGAAGGCCTGGTGGCCAGAAATGCCTGGCCGTGGTGTCTGCCTTCTCTTTTATAGGGGTGTACTTGGAGGTTCACTGGTAGTTATAAGTGGGGCTACACGTCCCCTAATATGGGTTATAAAATATAGTCACCCTACTTATAAGCCCACTTTTAACCGCCCATGAACCTCCAAGTAGTGTTTAGGGCTTCGCGTTTAGGGGCTTGGGATAGGTTGGGGATCTTCATCCTTGGGCTCTCACAACTCCGGATGGGAGCTTCCGAAAAGAGGGGACCTTAAGTGTGGGGCTCCTTTAAAGGATCCTATAAGGGTACCAGTCCCATAAGGGTTCTGTAAGGGTGCTACATGGGAGTTTCCGACATAGGGACCCTTAATATAGTACCCTACACAGTAGGTCAGTAGGATCCTTGTTAGAAGGAGCCCAATATCAGGTATCCCTACGCCCATGTCGCCACAGCAGACATGCCGTCCACAATCCCTCAACATGAAAACTCGATGCCCCCCAACCTGCAGTGTAGAACCGTAAGGTATCGGAAGGCTTACAAGAAACCATTAAGTAGGATCCCCCTGACCCCTAAACCCTAAGTATCCCAGGACAGGGGCCTTCAGATCGGTGAAGTCAGGATCAGACCTAGACCGGTCAGGGGATGCATCTGCTGGAGTCCGGAGAGGAGCTAGGGCTAGGGACTGGGGATTGAATAGTAAGAGTAGGGCTTAGGGTTTAAAATGGGATTAGGGCTTAGGGTTTAAATAGGACTAGAGTTCAGGGTGTGCATAGGGTTTAGGATTGGGGCTTAGCGCTTAGGATTCGTAGAGTGCAAGGTTAAGCCTGACCCAGCCTCCCAGAGACTCCAATATCCCTTTAATCGGAATATATACCTTTTCATTATAGTACGATCCCATATATGGTTATCCATTAGAGGGAGAAAAAACCCCAAAAAAATATTAGGATCCCTAATATGGTTATCCTTATTTGAGGGATGGATTGGAGTCTCCGCGTTCTGCAGTTTCGAGTGGAGGCTTTCAGAAGTTTCAGAAACGTGGCATCGGCCTCATTGGGAGTTCTAGACACCGAGTTTTAGGACTAATATAGGTTAGACCAGGTTTCCTTCAAAGGGTTCCTTCAAAGGGTTCCCTAAAGGGATCTATAAGGGATCTATGCTATAAGTATCATAAGGAGCCCCCAAACGGTTCTAGACACCGGGTGGAGGCTAACATAGGGGCCTGAATAATTAGAATGGGGTTCCTTCTAAGGGCTACTATAAGGGCTTCTATAAGGGACCTAGAAAAGATGTGCCTGCATAATAAAATTGGAATAGGGTGTTGGGGCCCATTTTTACTATGAGGAACGCCCAAAATAAGACACCCTACCCCAACCCCAATCCCACCCACAAGACCCCACCACTCCACACCGAGTGGAGGTTACCTTATCTAGGGGTGCTGACGGTCATGGTAATAAGGGCCGAAGATTCGATACTGGATTAAGGTCCCTTCTTTGACCAAACTCTCAGAGTATCTGTGAGGCTTGGGTTTCGGGTTGTAAGACCTTTGGGCCCCGTGAGCCCCGGCCGAGGGTGGCACGGAGTGGGAGACCCATCCGGCTGCTCCTTCCCCACGGCCTCGGAGTGTTCTGGTTGAGGGTTCTCAAGGTTTCGGGTTTAGGTCTGGGGTCATATATTGGGGAAGGCACACCGGCTTAGGCTCGAAAGCGAGCGTCAATGAAGGTTCAGGCTTTTGGGGCTAGGCTGAACTTACAGACATACGGTTGACGACATAAATCCGGCATTACCTTAATGACCCTGAACTATGGGAATTATGGTATATTCCTTCTCCTGGGTAATGCAGGATTAATTATCACAACCGTAGCTCAGGGAATGGTTGGTCGAGTCTTCGAGGCACAGGGCTGCGAAGATCTACCATAGGGGCCTTAATAATTAGAATAGGGTTTCTATAAAGGGATCCTTAAAGGGGTCTATAAGGGATCTGCATAGGGTTCTAGATTCGGGGCCTTAATTTTTAGAATAGGGCTTTTGGGCCCTTTGCAGTATAAATATAATAAGGAACCCACAAACTAGTGTTGGTAATTATTTACGCCCCTAATAGTAGGCTTGTCAGTGTCTGAGACGATTCATCGCTGGGCAGTTTGCAACATTGATGGCTGACGCCCAATACCACACACCAAGCGTTGCAGCTCTTCAAAAAGACGTTTACTGGAGTACCGATGCCCTTTGCAGCAGCAGTAGCGGAAGTGGTGGGAGGAGCAGCAGGAGCAGGAGTGGCGCTGGTGCCCGTAGTGGTAGTGGACATGGTCGTGGCGGTGGCAGTGGTAACTAGCGGCGGCGGTAGTAGTAGTAGTAGTAGTAGTAGTAGTAGTAGTAGTAGTAGTAGTAGTGGTGGTAGTAGTAGTGCTAGTAGTAATTAGTAGTAGTAGTAGTAGTCGTCGTCGTAGTAGCAGTAGTTGTTGTAGCAGCAGAAGCAGCGAGCGGAGCACACGGATGGAGACCTGACGCCTCCAGTGGCGCAATGAGCGTCACCAGAAGAATCACCAAAAGGATTCCCACCAAATTGCCATACGGATTAACAGCAAGCATTACTACAAGTGTTCCTCAAACGGTTGCGGCAAGGTCTTGCCGTAAGGGCTATGATTCGGGCTGATGTAAGGCTTTGGACTACAAATTACTGCAAGGCTTCCTGGCACATCGCAACCGGAGGTATGGTGATCCTTACATTATCATAGTAATCCTTACACCAGTAATACCAACATGAGGATTACCATACTTACTATAACAATTTTACAGTCAGAGTGATGCTTATAGCTGGTAATGCTACTCCTTCTTGGAAGACGAGCTCTCCGAGCTTCCCTGCATCTTCGAGCGCCTGCAAATCAGTCAAGGAAACGCAGGTTTCCGGAGCAGAATCGGGCTTAATCAAAGGGCTGCTATAACCGATTTGTGAAGGTTGTATGAGTTGCTTTATGCCTCATGCAAGGATTTAACTGGCTTGATATAGGGGGCTGAATATTTACACATGGTACCACTGGGCGTTCCGTCATATCGTGGTGTAACTTGTACCCTCAAGCCCCTGTAATAACCCAGGGCTGCTGCGATCTGGGGCAAACAGGAACAGCAACGAGACCCACGACACCAACAACCAAAGTCATAGTACAACCTGGTGTTGACACATGTACAAGTGTAAGCATCATCTGCAACAGCACAACATAACTTCATTGCTCTCATCATCGTCGTCATCAGCAGCATGGTATGAACATGTATGAACTCCAACGCCCACCGCTCCACCCCTGCAAAACACTTAGTGACGCCTTCCTGGTCGGATAGGTGCCAAAATAGACGTGCAGCCGAAGTTCCAAGGAACACCTGGCTGCTGTGCATACGGTGTGCAACATATGGGTGGTTGTCAAAATTAGGGTCCCTTTTTGGGTACCTTAGATATTAGGTGCCGTATTATAATATGGACACAAAAAGGGACCCTAATTTTGACAACCACCCATAAAGAAGTTGGAGCTGAGGGCTTACTGCAGGTTAGGACTAGCACTGTAATCGAAAAGGGCTGAGGCTCGTAAGACTTGGGTCTTTCAAGGGGTTGTATCCACCCCTCCAGCTGTGTGGAGGCTTGGGATTGGGAGCACGTCTGCGCGAGTGTATACGCAGTCGTGGTTGGCTGAGCACACAGACTCATCGACAGCATCCTTACACATGAGATCCAGCACCTACTACCATTGCAGATGTTCTCCGTATCCTTCGATGTGCTTCGAATGAAAACTTTTCTTGTAGCTAGTAAGTCTATGAGTATCTGCATCGCATCGCTACAAATACAGTTACGCTGCTGTTTCGTTCTGCTACAAACCACTGCTGTGATGAACACAAATCACTGCTGTGATGAATGCACGGCACATTGAAAAGTATTGAATGTTGTTCTCTGCATGGTCTTCGTTTACCTTTGCTCTGCATGGCAGTTCAGTACCCTTCCTAGTTGCTGCTGGATGCTTTTGTGGCTGTAGCTGCTACTCCTACTCCTGCTGAATCTGCTTCTGCTTCTGCTTCTGCTTCTGCTTCTGCTGCTACTACTACTCCTGCTTCTGCTTCTGCTGCTACTACTACTCCTGCTGCTACTACTACTACTCCTGCTACTACTACTACTACTACTACTACTGCTACTACTACTACTACTGCTACTGCTACTGCTACTGCTACTGCTACTACTACTACTACTACTACTGCTACTACTGCTACTACTGCTACTACTGCTACTACTACTACTAGCTACTACTACTACTACTACTACTATTACTACTACTACTACTACTACCACTACTACTACTACTCCTACTACTACTACTACTACTACTATTACTACTACTACTACTACTACTACTACTAATACTACTACTACTACTACTACTACTACTACTACTACTGCTACTACTACGACTACTACTATTACAGCACTACTACTATTACTGCTACTAGAACAACAACTACCACCACTACCACTACTGCCACTCCTACTACTACTGCTAGGACTCGACTACTACAACCGCTGCGACCGCTGCACGACCACGACCATAAAACATGTCATTGATGATATAGAACGTGTGGTATGACGTGTATATATATATACACATAATGGAAAATAATGTATACCTCTTCTGGTGCTTGGGATCACCGCTCACCCGAGCGGATCGAGCTTCCCGGAGCTCCGAGCGAAAGAGGCCAGGGGTTCCCCAAGGAGCCGCTCGCGGAGTCAGGGGGAACCAGGTGCTTCCAGAGATCAAAGAAAGCATCCTCCGACGCGATTCTGGATGCTTCAGGATATAGGCGGGGTTATAAAGATTATGCAGGATTCACTCGTGTCCAACTCTTCCTTTAATGCATCGCGGATCCGTGGTGTCTGGAAGGTGTGGCACACAATGAATATGAGAGGAAGCGGCCACCTTCGGCTTATTGGCTCCAAGCTCAAGCACTCAATCTCTAACCAGTAAGTGGCTGAGAGTTTCGGACATGTGCCGGCCCTGAAATTTACGGATTGTGGCCATTGCCCGGCCGCAGCCAAATTCCTATGCAATCCTGATAGAACCCTGCTCAATCTCTATTTCACAAGCCCGTCTCTCCTTGTGCCCATCATCAAACTCCCGGAGGGCCTGGCATTGCGCAGCCGATATGTGACGATGTGTGTGTGTGTGTGTGTGTGTGTGTGTGTGTGTGTGTGTGTGTGTGTGTGTGTGTGTGTGTGTGTGTGTGTGTGTGTGTGTGTGTGTGTGTGTGTGTGTGTGTGTGTGTGTGTGTGTGTGTGTGTGTGTGTGTGTGTGTGTGTGTGTGTGTGTGTGTGTGTGTGTGTGTGTGTGTGTGTGTGTGTGTGTGTGTGTGTGTGTGTGTGTGTGTGTGTGTGTGTGTGTGTGTGTGTGTGTGTGTGTGTGTGTGTGTGTGTGTGTGTGTCCATCCCTGTTCCAAAGGGTCGAGTGTGTGTAATGCAGGGGGTGCAAGAAGCATTCTGGAGTCTTGCACCAACGAAGACGCTCCAGTTTGCTTGTGATATCACGGGAAGACGTTCCTGTGACGTACCTGCATAACGGCCGCCCGAAATACCCCAAAGATGCTGTTGTTTCACAGTTGGCCGAAATGACAAGATCGAGTAACTTCATGCAGCTGACTCTTCTGACTTTGAGAGTGTGATTCGAGACCTGCGACACGATGTGTCAAGTGTGCTTCACAACGGCATTCCCTATGGGCGCCGTGTCTCCCAGAGGTAGCTCTGGCGTTGACTTTACCGATTGACTGTATAAGCATTGGATGACTTTCCCTGATTCTATATCCATGCTTGCAAGCTGACTTTCCCAATGAGTCTTCACCGAATGCTTCTACCGAAACCTGAATGCTGACTTTCTCATTGACTGTCTATGATCAAATCGACTTTCCCGAATCTGACTTTTTCGCTGACTTGTCGCAGGTCTTTGGCTACAAATCGAGTTTCTGAGCTGTACTTCTGAGTAATTGCTGATCAGTTTGCCATGGATTCTTCAGGAAAGAGACGCAGTACCCGCACATCAGCCCCTCCCCCTCCTCCCCCACCTCCTCCTCCCCCTCCTTCCTCCCCCTTCCCCCATCTCCCTGTGCCTCCCCCTCCCACTTCCGCCCCTGCCCCCGCCCGTGGTACCACAGCGAAGTGGATTCCACCCCCCCCTCCCCTTCCCCCTCCCGCCTTCCCCCCGCCACCCCCCACTCTTGCAGTCTGTCCAGCGCCTGCCTCATCTTCCTCTTTGCCGGTCCCTTCTGCAGCCGATGTTGGAGCGAGAGCTACAGATGTAACTCCTACTTTGATTGCTGCACGTCCTGTAAATGATCAGCAGATTCCGCAGCAAGAGGTTCCCCCTGCAATCACTCTTCATGCAGATGGCACAGGTTTCCGGTTGTCGTTTCGTTCGGTGGCTGATTTCGCTCAATACTCAGCGATTATGGCAGCAAACTTGACACATGTCCGAGGCCACAGAGATGTGTATGCTGGCCTCAACAATTTGCTTGACATTCAGCAGTCTGTTGTTTCTCAACGGAATCAGTCAACAGCATCTGTTCAGAGCCAGCAGTCAGCCATCACGTATCAAACGGATGATTCAGCCCAGCCAACAAAGCGACTTCGGCAAGTTCCTGGAAATGAAGTTTCTCTCGTTGCAGATCCTAACAGCATTCGACTTCGTGCAATTTGTGATCAGATTCCTGGTACTCATGCAGATCGCGTAGGGTGGCAGCTCAGTGCGGACCAGACTTACGTCTTTCGAGTTAGACCTTTGCAAGACTCGTATGAGCATTTTGAGAATCGATCTCTTCTCAAAGGGCATGTGGAAGTTGAGTGGGAGCAAGATTCAAACTTCTTCGTGATTCCTGAACTTCGTGGGTTGGAAGTGCGAGATGAAGAAGCGAAGCTGATACGCGTGTATTCATCTAGCTTCAATTGGGCCGCATTATACCCCATGTTTACTGCTCTACGTCACTTGATCAGTTCCAGCCCTGGCCGTATGAAATCGGCATGTGAGATTTCGGCAAAGATACCGGCCAATCTTGAGTTGCAGGTTCCCAGCTCTCTGATGCAAAGCACGGCGGACTATCTGATCAGCCTGTTAGGTCTTCCTCCCCACGCTGTCAATTCGACAGCATTGAAGTATGTCTCTCAGGCAATTGCAGCAGCCGACCAAGCCGCAAACATTCATTCTGTGGAGCTTCGTTCTTTGTCGAGTTCGTGCAAGTGCTTGAGCATCCACTTCACCCACTTTGAGAGGACCATGATCAGGTCGCATGCTTCTGCAGCAGGGATTCGTCGTTCTCCTGTTGCACACAACACAACAGTGGCAGCGGCTGCATCAATCCTTCTTGAGGGAGCGATCCGACCTTCTTGGTGGGATGCTAGTGACAGCAAGTGGTCCCCACCAATTTCCTTCTATGCTAGGGCTCACACTTCAGATGCAGAACAAGCACAAGAGGCAGCAGCCAAGTACGGTGGCATTCTGAGTGAGCGACCGGTGTGCATTTTCGGACATGCATTTAATCGTCAAGGATCCCTCACACCTCCCCATTCAAGAATCCCCATGGGAGGGGTCGAAGGTGACCATTCCTGCAGCTACATTCGTGATGTTGCCCGTGCCAAAGATGGCAGATGGGTCTTTCGCTCTTCATGTTTCATCCCGGAAGCGCTTCTTGTTTTTTGGAGGGTCTGAGTGCAACATGCTGCTTTGACCGGCCACGTCTTCAAGTCTCTTCCGTTGTCACCTGCTTTGCACGTTTACATGTGACGAAAACCTGCAAGGGAAGTGCAAGTGTATTGCAAGGGACGTGCAAGTGCACTGCAAGTGAGAAGAGCAAGTGACGTGCAAGGGATGTGCAAGAGTTTATGCATCGGACGTGCAAGTGACGTGCAAGGGATGTGCAAGAGTTTCTTCATGAGCCGTCTTGAGTTGCAGCCTTTTGATTCGAAGTGTCGTTAGTGATTCCGCGTATTCAGATTTGTTGATAGATCTGAAACCATGGCATGGAATGGGCAGTGGGACAACAGCACAGGGTACGGGAGGTCCCAGCAATCGTGGGGTCAGCACCGCTATCAGCCGTATAACTCGGGAAGTTGGACTGATCCCAACCTCTCCAAGTCTGCACCTGCTAGTCAGCCACCTCCACTACCTCCGCCTCCTCTTTCTTCGGCACCTTCATCTTCGCCGTCTACTCCCATGCCATGTCATCAAGGTCCTGGTCTTGTTCCTGCACTACCGAATGGATGGGCGTCAGATCGTGATCATTATGATTCAACGGTGCTTCATGGGTTGTCCTTTCGTAAGTCCATCGAAGCCACCCCGTGGTCGCGGAAGAAAGGGATCGCAGGAAAAGACCCACTCAGCATTCCTGTTCAGGAATTCCTGTTTCATGGAGTCTCAGATTGGCGTCTTCGAGCATTGAGTCATGGCAAGTTTTTCAGTGTTGTGCCAGTTGCTACGGTTGCCGAAGCAGTGTTCATGTCGCAAGTCACGAAGAACCTTCGAGATCGCAAAGTTGACATCGATGCAGTTGCTACGCATCTCTTTCAGGCCGCTAATCCATCTACAATCATTCCCAACAAGAACACGGATTGTGCAGCTCTGTTTCAGCCGATGGTTGACAAGATCGTTCAGCTCATGTTTGACAACATGCCGGTGTCTGCAGGCGTCGATCAATCTCAGAAGTTTCTTCAAGTTACGGAAGAGCTCAATCGCCGCCGTGAACAGTTACAAGCCGCAGGACTTCCCGTTACCCCCACGAAACCCGCTTTGCAAACACAGCTCCCGGTTGCCTCGCAATCTAGTGCTCCGTGTCCACAATCCGTGACACCACCGCAGACTTGGGAGAGTGACCTCAAGCGTAAGATCGACAGTGTTCCTGCAGAAGCCCTGAATGATCACAAAGCCCGACTAAAGGGATCAGGAGAGGGGGACGTCGACAAGTGGATCCAGAGCTTCAAACGACCCCTAGGAAAGCGCTTTGTCGATTTTCAAGAACACATTGCGTCTGTCTCCAAGCTTGTGCAGATCAACTACGGAGGCAAGGAGAAAGCAAAACTGCAAGAACTTGCAGTAAAATTCGGGATCTCGGCGACTTTTGCATCTAGGATGGGTATCAAGAGTCTCTCTACGTGCATCGCAGCAGCAGCCTTTCAGGTTGTCTGAATTGCACACAGCCTTGCTTCCAATCAACTCTCCGCAAAGGAGATTCGGTCAGCACATGTTCTTATTACAGAGGTCGGCAAGTTCATGTCGTTTGTGCTTCAGTTCATTCCGCATGTGGACAAAGTGATGGCCATTTGGTTGCAAGGTTTTTGTCATCTGATTCTACTGTTCCATTACTCCAGGGGTACTTCGCCAGAACAACGGCTGCTTGAAAAATTGCGCAAAGCTGGAGTCACGCTGTCTGATTACACGTTCACACGATTCCAGAGTCCTTGTGCAGTTTATTTGAAAGCCCCCGTGTCCTGGAGTACGCGTTCTTCGTTCAAGCAAAGAGACAGATGGATGTATGTTGGAAGTACTTCAATTACTATTTCCAAGCGTGAATTCAACCGGCAATCCAAACTCAAGCAAGTTCTTCGTGAGCAATATGTTCAAGTTGAACCAGCCATTCGTATTTGGGCTTCGCTGGGCAGGTATTTCGACTTTTCTACGCTTTGTCTGTCTGTTCATGATGACTACAAACAAGCGTGGGTGCAAGAGCATGTTCTTATTGATCGGTGGCAACCCAGATTGAATTCACCGTTCATTGACCGTTTCTTCATTAAGTCTGCATTGGGATTCAAGAGACTCAGGCCACGTCCATCTCTCAAGAATGTTTCATTGTTTTCCAGACTTTGGGTCAAAGTTCGAAGACGTGCGGCTTCAACAAGTACTCCGATTCGATGTTTGATGGACAAAAGCCAAGCGTGGTCGCTCTTGTACGATTTGGCATCGTTGACCTCGGCATCTTTCTCTGCTGCGAAAATTGTTAGATCTGCCAAAGTCTCGACGTTAGAGTTGTACGCGATGTTCCGCATGGCCAAGATCATGGAGCAGCCTTTCAGATCTAGAGTGGTACAGCTGCTCAAGTCTGCGCTCAAGTTTCGTAACTGCTCTGTACCCCGACATAACAAGTCAGTCAC